AGATTTGGATCTATATATATATTTGGATTTGGATATACGAAAAGCACTGATAAAAACTGACTGACACTTTATTCCATCCTGTATGAAGCTACTGCAGGGCTTCAGAGCTCCTTAAGTCCTGCACCCTAGGTGCACCAAGAAAAGTTATCACAGCTTCTTCCTCCTAGCAACTATTAGACTTTAAATCACTGCATCACTGAGCCAGACAATGAAAAAAGTGTCTTTTCATCCCTGATTTTAAATGTGTAGTTTTTTGTTAATGTTTTGACTTCTGATATAATCCTTGTAAGCTATTTTTAAAGCAGCAGTATTTTTCTTCTGTAGTAAACACTGCCCCTTGCATACTGCTGATATACCCAAGGAAGGGTAAAATATCGTAAAGATTAATGAATGCTTTCTAGATAGAACATTTTACACCAAACACCAGTCACGGCATACCTGATTTGCACATGGAGTGTCTGCAAAACACCACTTCTCTTGCCACTCATTCTTAATCAGAATTAGGTCTAGACTATGTTTCTAACACATTGATATACTTTAATCTGTACCATTTCATTATGCATCTGGCTACATGTTCTCGAGCATTTTGAAGCTTATAAAATACTATTTTTCAGCGATATTCTGTATTTAACTCCATCTATCAACCCTGGGAAACATTCAGTTTCTTAGCTGGTGCCACCACGGTGTTTCACTGTGTAGAGAGGTTTTTTTAGGTGATGAGCCATGTTAGAATGACTCAAAGACAAGGCTTTTGCATGGAGGACAATAATCTGACCAGAACCCGCCACATTTTTACAAATCTTTCAATGAATGATGATTCCCTCAGTTTCTTGTGCTAAACTTGCAACATGCAATCCCTTTTTTTCTTACATAAATATCAGAATGGAGTTAATAATCAATATATGGTTTGTGTGTCCTGAGATGAGGGTCTCTGCAGCTCCTCCAGAATTTCCCTAAACCTCTTGGCTTCTTCCACCTTATCCTCTTCTTACCCTCTGTGTTGGTGCATATCTTTGCACAAGGACTAAATATGGATCTGTGAGTTTTTCAAAGTTTTAGGTTTTATTTTAAAAGATAACCCTGCTAAATGTCTTAACAACTTTAGACCTCTCAGACCTGTTTGCTGGGTTCCTTGGGTTTATGATGCTATATTTTCAATGTTGTTCTGCCACAAACCTCCAAGGCCTTTACAGACCAGGTATTTTTTATATTTGTAGATTTACTCATCACAGGTGGTCTATTTATGAAAATTATGTATAATTCTTATTATACCTAACAATTATGAATTAATTTGTGTTGGTGTTTCACAACAGATTGAAACAAAGTAAACTAAGGTTTTTGACAAACTCTATGTCAGTTTTTGCTGTACCTAAATTACCTATTTTGCAAGCTGCCGGTGTGTCTGGAATCAGCATAAGAATTAGTAATATTATAAGAAAAGAAATGCTACAAACCACTGCAGCAGCATCATGAAGTAAAAACAATAAGTGAGATAGGAAGCAGGTTGTAGCACTGTTGCCTTGCAGCAAGAAGGTTCTAGGTTCGATCACCTTTCTGCATGGAGTTTGCATGTTCTCCCTGAGTGTGGTGGGTTCTCTCTGGGTATTCTGGCTTCCTCCCAGAGTCCAAAGCATGACTGTTTGGTTAATTGGCATATCTACATTGTCCTTAGGTGTGTGTGTGTGTGTGTGTGTGTGTGTGTGTGCATGGTTGTATATCTCCTTGTTTCCCTGAGCCCAACTGGCAACCAGTCCAGGGTGTACCTCGCCTCCCTGCTAGAACACCAGCCTCACTGCGACCCTGATGGAATAAGTGTGAGAAGATGGAAGAATTAACGGATGACCACTGCAATAAACGAGATGAAAAGGGGTTCATAATAGGAAGGTAAGAAGAATGGATGCAATTACTCGATGCAGCAACCCAGCCTGATGTATATTTTTGATTAATGATAGTCATGAAATTGACAATATTTTCAAACTCTATTGGTATTGAAACCCAGTCTTATGCATCTACCAGGCATCCTTTGTATGGTGACCTTCACTCAGTGCTGTGACTGATCCTCAGACACTCCAGCCACTGTTACACCATCATTGCACTTGTGTTGCCAACACTTATGCCCTCTGGTGCCCATTCTAGACATACCAGCTCCTTGAAATTAATTTTCCCTATTACCGACTTGCCTGTGTATATCCCAGCCAAAACATGTAGGTTAATGTATTTTTTAACATTTACTTATGTATCAGTTGTTTTTTTATTATTATATAATGTCTGATTTTTCTGTTAAACGCTTGAATTTTGAATAGTAATTTTCTTTTAAAATATCCCTGTGTCACACTTTTGAAGACTCACCAGTTCCATAGATATGATGTGTTTCCTCTCAGTAACTAGAAAAATAAATGCATTTTTCCTGTTCTGGCAGTGAATCAGACTATGAAGAGACGTTAAATGAAGCTTTAAAAATAGCCCAATTATAAAAAAGCATTATTAAAATTTTATTTAAACTTGATCCTGTCATGAAATACATGAAGATATGTTAGAATAGAACAGAA